AAATCAAGAACCCAGGGTTTCAAAATTTAGGGCTTTTTAATTAAAAACCAAATTTGAAAATTAATTAACATAATTATAATAATCAAACATAAAAATTAAATCCCAAACTCATAATTTACAATTAGATTAAAGCATAGATTAAATTTGAGTAAGAAAGATTTGATTTTTAAATATTTTTTTTCGAAACCCACGCAGCAGGCCGGCGCCACTGCCGGCTGCTGTCAGCACTGGTGGTCACCGCTGCTGCCGGCTGGGTGGCTGGTGATCGGTGGCCCACCGATGGTGGTGGTTGCCGTTGGTGGTGGTGCGAAAACAAAAGGGGAAGGGGAAGGAGAAAGAAAAGAAAAAGAAAGAAGAAAAATAAGGAGAAAAGGGAGAGAAGTTTACCTTGGGTTTTCTCCACTCTGGGAAAAGTTGAATTGCCTCATAAGACGGATATTTATACCCCTTCTCTATCACCCTTTTACCTCAACTTTCCTCCTTTAGTTTTTCCTAATCCCTTCCTTACTAAAACTTGTTAAAATCATAATTTCCTAAAATAAAACCCCAACTTTTATAAAATAAATAATTAAACAAACTTTCCTTTAGTAAAAATATTTCCAAACTTACATAGGATAAATAATTAAAACACCATAATTAAAATATTAAAATTATTTAAATACCCTTATAAAATACATATTTTAAATAAAATACGTATAAAAATACGGGGTATTATAGCCGTGGTAGAAGACTACGGACACCAGCAAAGGGCCTTGACAAAAGACTGCGGACACCAGCAAAGGGCCGTGACAAAAGACTGCGCCACCAGCAAAGGGTCGTGATAGAAGATCACGGACACCAGCAAAAGGCCTTGAGAAAAGACTACGGACACCAGCAAAGGGCCGTGACAGAAAACCACGGATACCAGGAAAGAAACATGGCTGCAAAAGTTTTTTTTTAAAAAAAAATAAATAAAAATAATTGAAGGCGACATCAACAGAGTAGTGCAACTCGATCGACTTCAACAAAGTGCGAATTTCCAATTGTAACGTTCGTGTTACTGCCGTTACGATTGCGGGAGGGTATTAGGAATATAGGAAAATATATTATTGTGATATATTTTCCATATAGATCTTATGATATTATATTTAGGATAATAATATATCTTAGTGATATTCTAAGATAGATTTATGGAAGTTTATATGATAGAGTTTTATATTGTGTAGGTTATCTTTTGTAGGCTATAAATATTAGCCAAGATCATTAATACAATTAAGAAGCTATTCTCTCATAAATAATTTGTCAGTACGACAACCTATCAACCTGGAAACTCGAACCATCCGATTTCCATAATACAACTCTGCACTTTGGCCAAGTCCCATTACACGACCCTTCTTGTTGCGATCACCCACCATCTCCCAATACAACTCGTTTAAACTCTTTTTAATCCCTTGGGTAGTGGCTTATTCAACCTTCTTCTAGTAGGTCTCCTATATGAAATACATTATACAATCATACATAGTTTATAAAAATTACGAACAACATAAGTTACAAGTAAAGCAAATAAACATATAAGTGGTTATGACTTAACATCACATAAAAAGAAGTTATTTTCTAAGTTTTTGGGATCATTTCATCAAAATAGAGCCAAGTAAAGGAAAAATAGCTTCTACTATGCCTATTTTCTTCATTTCTTTACTTAGAAACTCATTCTTTTTCAAACCAACTCACAATTACATAGTTATAAGTGGTTATGACTTGTTATCTTTGGGATCATTTCATCAAAATAGAGCCAAGTAAAGGCAAAATGGCTTCTAATATGCCTATTTTTTCATTTCTTTACTTATGAACTCATTCTTTCTCAAACCATCTCAGAACTACATAAGTATAAGTGGATATGACTTGAAATCACATAAAAGAAGCCATTTTCTAAGTTTTTGGGATCATTTCATCAAAATAGAGCCAAGTAAAGCCAATATGGCTTCTTATATGCCTATTTTCTTCATTTCTTGACAAATGCACTCATTATTATTTCTCAAACCATCTGACAATTACATAGTTTTAAGTGGTTATAACTTGAAATCACATAAAAAAAGCTATTTCCTAAGTTTTTGGGTTCATTTTATCAAAATAGAGCCAAGTAAAGCCAAAATGGCTTCTAATATACCTATTTTCTTCATTTCGTTACTTATGAACTCATTTTTTCTCAAACCATCTCACAATTATATAGTTATAAGTGGTTATGACTTGAAATCACATAAAAAGAAGCTACTATCTAAGTTTTTGGGGGTCATTTCATCAAAATAAAGCCAAATAAAAGTTTAGATACTAAATTATATTAAAGTTTTTACCGCAATGTTCTTGGTTTTGGCATTGGCAAGCAGCGGTCCTTTCCCAGTAGGAATGGCAACAGATCGGATTCAGGTCGGATGGATTCCACCCGCATCCACCCAAATTAACCATCCGCTCCACCCGATCCACCCGTCACCCGCAAAACCCATCACCCGCATCCGATCCATCCGTCATCCTCGAATGAAACGGGTGGATCGGATGCTTAGCGGGTGATAATTATAATCCTACTCTAACTATAAAATCTAATACGTTATTATAAAAAAAAATTTTTTAGCCAATTTTAAACTTAAAAAGTAAACCATTAATTAAAATTCTTATTCCAAACTATAGCAATAATAATAATAATAATAAAAAAAAAATCATAAACTTACTTTTTTTTAACGTAATCATGAACTTATTTCGGTACTACATAATTGGGAATTGAGGGAGGTTTTATATTTTTAAAAATAAAATTAAAGAATTTTTAGAAATATTTTTTTTAGAAATATACAGTACATACATAGTGTAGTATACTAGTATATAAGAAAATTGGGAATTTTTTTTATATATACAGATGGACTACCAATCGGGTGATAAACGGATGACGGATCGGGTGAAGGATGAAACGGAGCTCCACCCGAATCCGACCCGATCCGTCACCCAACCTTCATCCATTTAATGCAGATTTTTGTCCATTTATTTATTTCGGGTGGATCGGATTTGCGGATATCCATCTGGAATTGCCATCCCTATTTCCCAAGGACCTCCTTGAAGTGCGTCTTCATGAAAAGCTCATGCGCAATTGGTAATTGGACTTTGTTTTTCTCCACCTTTGAATGTACATGCAACAAAACAAATTAAACTTGTCATTTCACTGTAATACACAATTGATGTTGTAGGGAATATTTCAAGCGTTAATCCCTAGCTTGAACCCCACTGTGATCATACACTAAAGCATGGTGGCGTCCAAAGGGAAGGAAGATAGAGCAAAAGAGTCGCCAACAAGTTTTTTAGGAACTTGTAAACCGTTCACGAGGTGAAGGTTACACCCCTTAACGATCCAAGAGATCGTCAACTCCAATAGGTCTTGAACCAAATAAGGTTCGGGGATGAAGGTACAAATCCAACCTAAAAGAGATTGAACCTGCCCTAATAATAGGCCTCTACTTTATTCTGATTTTATTCATGTGCGCTTTCTAACTAACATGCAATCAATAGGTTTAACCCTAAACTTGTTTATCTATGTTGGTTGAATATTAATGCACAAATAAAACTATTATTGACGACCACTTGAATTATAATCATATTAACCCTAAAGAAGATTATTAATTATCTTATTAAGCGTGATTACAAGTACAAATTTCTTTTAATCATACATAAAAGGCGTGATCAAGCAATAACAATAAATATCAAGCAACATAATAATAATCATAATAATAATAATCATAATATAATAATAATCATGAATAATAATTATAATCAATCATCATGTTAAAGCATAATATTAATAGCAAGATCCTAGGCATGATACTAACAAGATTAATAACAAACCCTAGCATGTCACTAAACAATAAAAATCAAAGCTTTAGCCCTAACATGATACTATCATGAATATTAGGAAAAACATAGGAAGCATTATACTTTTAATCATACTTGATATTAAATTTACCCTAAACATGATACTAGGAATTTATTGTTGTCACCCTAAACATCAAATTAAGGAAAACATCCTAACATGATACTAGGAATCATAATAACAATCTAAGCATGATTTCTATATAATAACATCAATAAAAACCATTAAAGTACTTACTTTGATGCCTCGTACCTCTTTCTAATAACAAAATACACACGTTAGTAACTTCAAGGAAAATAATAAACAACATTTAAATTAAATAATTGAAAGAGAGATTCAAGACCAAACCCTCAGAAATTAAAACCTTTCACGTCTAGGGCGAAGGCAACTTCAAACAATGCTAGGTGTGTCTAGTGCTAATGTATGAGGAATTGTGTTTGTAAAAGGCTAGGCTTAGAAAGAGAGAGAGAATCAAGAATTTTTAGAACGCTACTTATAAAGAAAATCAACAAAAAAGATAGAAAATCAAAACAGAGTTCTGACGCGTAAAACGAGGATTAGCGCCAGGCGCTAAGGCTAGCGCCAGGCGCTACAACTGGTGTTTGGCGCTGACTAACAAACTGACTTGTTTTCTTAAAATCAGATAGAAATTGCCGTACAGGAGGATAAAATTGTATTTTCCTCAAAAACGTTCTTTTATTCTGATTAAAACTCTAAAAGTCAACAAAAGTCAATTTATCAATGCTAATTGAATTAGGAATGAAAAGAACCTTCTAGAAGAATCTAGAAGACTACAACTATTCCTAATTGCATTAGGAATGATAAATTTATATTAGGCCCTCCTCAAGATCATTGGGCCGCATATAAGGCTCAAACCAGGCCCAGTTCAGTAATTTGGCCATGACTTCCTCCTCAATATTCATCGGAATTGGGCTTATAATATATCGTTGGAAAGTTCTTTTCAAGCCCTATCCAACTACACTATTATTGGACCCATATCATGGACCAACCAAACTGGATTGACTGTTTTCTTAAAATAGCACTAGTAGAATAAACTTGATGGGCAGCCACAAATGGCAAGTGGTTATTGAATTCTGCTTGCCAAAATGTAAATGGCAAGCGGTTTTGGATGAACTGCTTGTCAAAATGCCAATGGCAAGCGGTTTTGGATGAACCGCTTACCAAAATGTAAATGGCAAGAAGTTTGAGCATTGAGCCGCTTGCCATTTGGTCAAAAAAACCTAGAAAAGTAAAACCCAGCTCACGTCCTCATCTTCTCTCTCCTCCGTCCCCTTTCCCCTCATTTTCACGCTCTCTCTCCTCTGATCTATCCCCTCATTTTCACGTTCTCTCTCCTCTTTTTCCCCTCCATTACGCCTTAGTTCTTTCTCCTCTATCTCCCCTCCATCCTTTATCTTCTTCTCTTTCTTCTCTTATCTCCTTTCTCAGCCTCCCTTCTTTCCTTTCTCACGCCTCACCACAACGAAGGACGACGGACACATATCTCACGCCTCACCACAACGAAGAACAACGAACGACGAACGCCTCAGTACCCAACGACGAGAATGAAGAAAACGTTTGGGTTCAGTTTTCCGGCTCGGCGTTAGGGTTCAGATTGCTGCTTCTCAAGTCATATCTCACTTGATTTTCCGGTATTTCATTAAATTTTTAGCTAATTTTCGAGTTTTTGCATATATTATGTTTGTGTATAATTTAAGATCTAAACCAGGTATGTTTGTATATAATTTTAGAGTTTTTAGCTTTAAAATTTTGTTCTTCATAATTTAAGATCTGAACCCGGTATGTTTGTGTATAATTTTCGAGTTTTTTCGCTTTAAAATTTTGTTGTTCATAATTTAAGATATGAATTTTTTATTTTTTTTTACGCAAAAGATCTGAAATTAAGTTAATAATTATTGTTGTTTATTTTTTCAATTTATTGTTTGACAGATACGGTGAATCGGGATAGGGTGGTGGTGGTAATACGGGTTAAGGTGGTTGGTGGTTGGTGGTGGCAGCTGGTGGTGTGCACGGCTGGTGAACAAGAGCAGCATCAGTTTTATTTTGCTTGTTTTTTTTTTTTTTTTTTTTTTTTTTTTTTTTTTTTTATGAAAATGTAATATTACAACAATTAATTAATAAAAATATTAATGTTTTTGCATATATTATGTTTGTGTTACAATTTAATTGAAAAAACTAATTTTTTTTTTAAATTTTTTATACCCATAATGGGCAGCGGTTTGGCGCCAAAACCGCTGCCCTTTCACTACAAATGGCAAGCGGTTCTGAACCGCTTGCCATTTAAAAGGCTAATGGCAAGCCCCCCAATGGAATGCGGTTCAAAACCGCTTCCCATTAGGGGGTTTGAACCGCTTGCCATTATGTTTATTCTACTAGTGTAGGTTTTCAAAAACAGAGAGAAGATAAATAGAAATTAAAACTTTCCGCAACACTAAACTTTCCACACTTTCACTTCATTCGATTATGATTCGACGTGAAAGGTACTCATCACTGGGTTTGGTTTTGGGGAGACACAAATGGGTGTCTACAGATGTCTATTTCACTTGCCTAATTAACAAACTCACCATCCTTTTGCATGCTGTACAGATGAAATTGAATCCTGTTAGTGGGTTGGTTCAACCACATTGTCCATCAATCTGCCTTTTTTGTTCTTCTTGTTTTGTTTCAGACCGCTTCTTGTACGTCTCATAATTGACAACAATGTCCATCATCTTCTTGTGGACATTCTCATTCAACCAGTATGGCTTGACCGCGTAAAACCGAAACGCGTTTTATCCTATGTAGGCTTGTTTCTGTCCCGTGTCACACCAAAATACCCCACGTCACACTAAAATATACCGTGTCAAGGCATATTTTGTCGTGTTTTGGCATGCTGCTGACGTGTCGCGGCATTCTTTTTTAGGGTTTTTATCTTTTTAGGGTTCCGTGTGTTCCTTATGCTCATTTTCCCTATAAATACCCCCCCTTATTTCTGCAGTTCAGGGAATCAATTAACTGTTTCTTCTCTCTTCTATGGTCTAGCTCAAACACTAGCCTACCTTATTATTCCAAAATACCTCCCTTAAGCACTCCAAGGAGTTCGTACTTTAGCCGAGGTTCTGTCCTTAAACCAAGGCGTGAAAAGTAGAACTATGTGAGGATTTCAACTCTATTTAATTTAATTTTTATTATTGTTTTATTTATCTCCTTGAAGTTACTAACTCGTTTATTGTTTTATAGTTGCAAGCAAGCAAAATCAAAATAAGGAATCACGTTCCTTTTCTTTCTATTATTTTTCTAACGGTTTTATATTGTTGGATTATTGTTGAATTGCTTCCAATATTAATGTTGATTTTATTATATTTATTGATCACCATATTGCATGTTTAAAGGGAATATGTAATAAATAATCACGCCAAATAAGATAATTTGGACAACCGGTTTAGGTTCATTTTTAACCTTTTTATTTAATTGAAGTGATCACTAATATTTTAGAGTTATATTATGCATTAATATTCAACCAATTTAGCATAATAATAGTTTTGAGCAAGTTGAATATTTTGTTTGTATGCCTTTGAGATAGCAAGAATCACTTTTCACTATAAGAATCGAGTAGAGGCCAATACGGGCGAATGTGACTCCATGACTCACTTTGTACCATCATCCCCGATCCTCTTTTCGTGGTTCCAAACCATATGGAGTTAGTAAACTCATGGATTATGAATGGGGTGTAACCTTCACGGGTTAATCATTGTTGCCTATCGTTGTTCCTTTATTCGTGATTGCCTTTTATGATCCGTGAACGGTTAACAAGTTCCTTAAAAACTTGTTGGCGGCTCCCTACTTTCCTTGTCCCCTAATCGTATATGTCAATTACCACTTCCTATGTATTCCAAATTTATTCACACATGCTTAACGTAGGCGCACTTCGAACGACGCCTACAATTTGGCAACTCCACTGGGGAGGATTCTTGGTTATTTATCGATTTGAGTGATCGGTATTTAATTAAGATGAGTGGATGAGACTTGAAAGATTCTTGAAAAGTATTATTGTGATTAATTTGTCATTTTTTCATAAGCATAGACGTTTTTAACGTTGCATCCAAGTCTATCCCGTAGGAAAAATGGAATAACCTGATTGTGAACGAAGAAAAAAGGTACCAGTCAGATTTCCTTGCCGCGCCACGGCAGATCCACAAATGATAATTTTTGGTGAGATACTTTCCATGCCTAAGGAAAGTCGGCAGATGAATTTTGCAGTTTTCTATGCTTGAAGAAATCCACCGGATGATACTTTCCATGCTTGAGGAAAGTCGATGGATGATATAATCGCCGATTTCTTCGCCTTAAGAGCTGGTAACCACCGACAATTTTCCATTTGAGGAAAATATTGTCTGATGATGAGATTACAAGTCTCTGTGTATCGAGAACCCTGTACCGTGAATTGTCTTCGCTTGGGAGATGATCACTAAAATGATGATGGTTCGATTGTCCCCAAACGTGAGATGTAGATGGTTTGATTGTCCCCAAACATGGCTATAGACGGTTTTCTTGTCCCCGAACGTGGGCTATAGATGGTTCGCTTGTCCCCGAACGTGGGCTTTAATGGTTCGCTGTCCCCGAACGTGGGTTGTAGATGGTTCGCTTGTCACCGAACGTGGGCTGTAGTTGGTTTGATTGTCCCCGAACGTGGGCTGTAAATGGTTCGCTTGTCCCTGAACGCGGGGTGTAAATGAGACTTGCAAAAATAAATTTGCCAAGAGACTCGTATATATTGTGATTGACTTGACCAAATAACTTGACCAAGTTTGACTTGACATGACATGACATGTGTATGACTTGTGAGTGTGTGTGTTTGTATATGTATGATTTGAGTGTGTGTGAAGAAACAAGCAAACAAAGATGCGAAAAAATTTCCGTGATTTTTGTCATGAGTGGAGGGTACCAACTTTCTCCCGATAAAGATAGACGTGAAAAAAAGTTTTGTTTCTGAATTTACCTCGATAATTATTTTTGAAATTTTTTTTGAACTTCCTCAAAAGAAAAGACATGAAAAAGGGAAGAAGTATGAACTTCCTCATTGAGCAAGACAAAATGAATCGTATGGATTGAATTGCTAGTCTTGAAAATAATGTATGCATGATGCATGTTCTTAGGCCAGGAGGCTAAGGAAAATTACATCATGTGACACGATAGATAAATGAACTTAGGTCCTGGAGCTAAGAATCATATATGGTGTAAGAAGAAATCTTGAACGTCACTTAGGTCTGGAAGCTAAGCACGACGTATATAGATGAAGTGATTATTGCACAATGAACGTTGCTTAGGTCAAGGAGCTAGGTACGATATGCTCTGTATGATTACAAATCATTGATATATAAATGTTGATCAACACATTATGCGATGCGTGAAACAATGAACATTGCTCAGGTTAGGAAGCTAAGCAATTAAGTATATGATGTTTCTTCTAACGAATGTTGTCTTGAAAGATGATGAAGCATGCGCGGTAGGGAAACAAGATTTCATGATAAAGCGTTCCTAAGGGAAAGATGATATGGCTATGTATGTGTAAAAGTGATACTAAGGTGAGGCTGCAAAGGCTATGGTGAGGGAAATAAATGTGAGAAGAGTCGAGATGGCGACTCTTTAGGCTAGGTAGGCTAGATGGTGTGGTTCAAGCCCCCAAGTCTAGCTCTAATCGGTAGGGTCATAGGGATAAGCATTGGATATTCTTCGACTCGATCATGCATATGAATGTGGCCGTATCTCAATGTGAGGTTGCCTACGTATCCATTAGGAATCAAGCCGAACGTTCTCTAACCGAACTTTGCACAAGTGTATGTTCACCTCAAATAGGTCTTTTAAGGGTTGTAATGTGGTTAAGTTAAAGGTTTAAGGAAGAAAGGGGTAAAAGGCTCAAGACCCGAGCGAAGCCCCCAAGATATGCAATTGTGTAGTTGAAAATTTGGACTTTGCAAGTTTTATTTTTCATATATTTTTTAATTTGAATTTCTTTTCTTCTTTTTTTTTCATTCTTTTGAATCAATGTAGACAATCTCGGATCATGCGGTCCATCACTCACTTAAAATTCATGTTTCTCAGGCACGGTACCAAGAACTCGATGATGAGAGACGCAATTTGAGACGTGTTCATATCGAAGACATTGGAACACTTGCCTTTAGACATTATTTTTTTTAATTATTTTTTTATTTGAAATTGCTTTCTGAATTTTACACAAAATTCTCACCTTCCCACCCCTGGGTTAAGTGAATGTGGGTTGAATAAATAAGGTCAATTATTAGACGAGGCTTAAAGTGGTTGATGAAGAAATGGATATGGGATAGAATGGTTAATAGAAAATGACAGGGTTGCAAAGGTGCCTCAAGTCATTGGTGTACCTTGTGTTTAGTTCGGTAATTTTTTTTTTTTTTGGTGAAAATAATCGAGATGTAAAGAATACTCAATTTATTGATGAAAATGGTGAATAATCTAACAAAATTATCAAATTATAGAAAGGGAAATCTATGATAGACTTAAATTTGGGAAAGGGAAATCATGAAATCTCATGCGAAGGGCTCGCCGTGTGCCTTGTCTTCATTACTACTTGTCACTTCTTATCACCTGGAGGCCGGGACAGGAAGTTTTTTGGCATCTACTAAGTCTTGAATCGCGTCCTTCAAATTCCAGCAATGTTCGGTAGAGTGACCCCTTCCTTAATGGTACTTGCAATTGGCATTGGGATTCTATTTGGCGTTTCTTTATTCAGGTTTTGGCTGTGAAAATGGACCAATAAGTGTGATCAAGCCTTGATCATAGAGGAGATCAAAGGCCGCATCATAAGTCATTCCTAAAGTAGTGTAAGTTCTCCTTTTCTTGGGTAATGGAGCATCAAGAGCTAACACTTCGTTGAGATCAACTTGGCTTATATTGTTGGTAGTATTTTCGTGATTAGAAGATGAAGAAGAAAGAAGGTCGTTCTTATTTTTCCAAGTGTTATTATTGTTACTACTAGCAGTCTTTATTAGCTCATCCTCAATATTGATTTCGATGTCGTATAAAGCTTCGAATGTGTTCAGTGGAAGAAATTTGAGATGTTCCCTATACTTGTGAGTCAAATTTTAGACGAGGAGGCGAACCATCTCTCTTTCTTTGGGAGGATCTACCAAGAGCAAAGCCATTTCCCTCCACCTGTTCAGATAAGCGGTGAAGCCTTCATTCTCTTTCTGTTTGAGAATGGAAAGTTCACGTTCAGAAGTTATTGTTTGAATGTTACACTATAACGATTCATGAGACTATCGGTGACATCTTGTCAAGTCGCAATATGCTTGGAATATAGGGAATAAAACCAATATTGGCAAGTATGCTCTAAGGAGAGAGGGAACACCATAGGGAAGAGTGTTACGTCCAATCCCTTAAGAGCCATGGTTGTAGAGAACGCCTTCAAATGGAATATTGGATTGTTAGTAAGCTTGAACTGTGGAATATCAGTAGTGGAGAACTTTTCAGGGAGCTTGTCTTTCACATCCAAAGGAGTGGGGGCTGTTCCACATAAGTGAAATCCTCAGAAATCTTACTCATATGTTCCTTCAATTTGTCAAGGGTAGAAACAATGACCTTGTTTTGTTCCATGGTAGTGACCCTAGTGGTAAGGGTTTTCATCATGGCAGATATTGCCTTGATGGATTTGTTGATGTTCTCAATATCTTCATTAGTGGCCATTGGAACGATCTTAAAGTAGTTTAAAGATGATATAAGTAATGTGGAGACGGCAAAGTTCTCTTTCAACGCTTCTTGGATTTAAGAGACTACTGCGGTAATGACTCGAACCATATTAATCTACCCCTGCTCCTCAGCCAAGTACTGTGAAATAAAACAATTTACTTAATTGTTTGACTTATTGCTTAAGATAGGAAAGGAAGAGAAAAAATAGACATTTGAAAACAGGTGAGAAAAAAATCCACTCATTTTTTTTATTATGACAAAAAAAAAGGGTGCATGAACCTAGTATACGATCATAAACGACATGGTGCACGACTCGAGTCGGAACATAAAGAAAGTGTGTGGACTATACTTGACTCGTGAGTGTTTAAGTGATATTATAAGACTCGTAGTATGATCGTATGGCTAGACATGTGAACAGTAACCAAAATGACTGACGTGAGGACCAAATTTGCACGGAAGACTAAAAAAAGCCGACTTGACTTATTCTTTGGGCACCATGACACGGAAAACAACACCGTGTTGCAGTACAACCTGCCGTGACGTGGTACTGATTGCCGTGACGCGACATTTCTGCTGTGGCGCAGTGATCAGTTCTAGGTGTTTATGTGTTTTTTTTATTTATTTTAGTGTTTACGCTAATTACTAAGTGAGTACGGTCCATTGGCATTAGTAAGTCATAAAATAAACCACCATAGACAAAGAAAACTCGTTAAGGTTAAGATAAAAATGATCACATATAGGGCACATAGGCACAATGATGCAAAGAAGAGTTCACAACCTAAGGTCAAGTTCTATGTTCCACTATGGTTAAGTTTATTTGGTGTCAAAGAGTAGAATGGTTAAGAGTTTGGACGCGTTGGCAAGGCAGCCACCCTTGAGGGTGTATACCAACGAGCGGCTCCGCGAGTTCGTGATGAAATCGAACTCGACTCCATGGTTTGGGTAGATTTAATAACTCGGATGAACGCTTATTGCCATGAGCGTTTTTAGGTTGATAGAGTTTAAATCCTCCGGGGCTAAGACATATGTAGAACACACACGTTTTTTTTCAGAAAAATCGAAGGAATCTGACCGTGAGAAGAGAAATAAAGCCACCAGAAGGATTTTAGGACTGTCGCAACACGGAAGAATCTACCGTGTCACTGTGCTGGACACCGCGTCATGGTGCCCTGTCCTGTGACACCGTAAGCTCTGCCGTGGCGCGGCAGTTAGGAAATCTGATTGGTGCCCTTATTTTCTTCGTTCACGACCAAGTTATCCAATTTTTCCTATGGGACAGACCTGAAATACGATGTTAAAACGTCTATGCACATGTTAAAAAAGCCAATTTAATTACAGGAATATTTTGAAGAATATTTCAAGTCTCATTCACTCATATTAATTAAATACCGATCTCTCAAATTGATAAATAACCAAGAATTCTCCCCAGTGGAGTCGCCAAATTGCAGGCGTCGTTTGAAGTGCTCCTACGTTAGCATTTTGTGAATATGCTTGGCACTCATAGGAAGTGGGAATTGACATATACGATTAGAGACAAGGAAAGTAGGAGCCGCCAACAAGTTTTTAAGGAACTTGTAAACTGTTCACGGATCATAAAAGGAAACCATAATAAGGGACAACGGTAGGCAACAACGATTGGCCCGTGAAGGTTACACCCCATTCATAATCCATGAGATTACTAACTCCATATGGTTCGGAACCACGAAAGGAGGATCGGGGATGATGGTACAAAGTGAGTCATGGAGTCACATTCGCTAGTATTGGCCTCTATTCGATTCTTATAGTGAAAAGTGATTCCTGCGATCTCAAAGGCATGTAATCAAAATATTCAATTTGCTCCAAACTATCATTAGGCTAAATTGGTTGAATATTAATACACACATATAATTTTATAATATTAGTGATCACTTCGATTAATAACAAGATTAAAGGAACCTAAACCGGTTGTCCATATTATCTTATTAGGCATGATTTTCAATTACATATTCCCTTTAAACATGGAATATGGTAATCAATAAATATATAATAGAACCAACATTAATATTGGATGCAATTCAACAATAAATTGTTAGTCAAACAAAATAATAATAATAAACCTAATCATGATACTAGTAATATTAAATAAAAATAAGTAATTAATTAATTACTCATGAATAAATTGCTACATCATGAATAAATTGTTAGTAACTTTAATAAAAAATATAAATTAAATTAAATTAAAAGCAGAGTTGATTTGGTCCAAACCCTAAGTTAATTATACCTTTCACGCCTTGGTTTAAGTATAAAACTTCGGGTATTGTATATAGGTTTAAGGCTTAGAATATGAGAGAGAAAGAAGAGAATAATTTTTTGTGTAGAAGAGAGGAAGAGAGAATGATTTGGTGTAGAGAGAGAGAGAGAGAGAGAATGATTTTTTGGTGCCCCCTAAACTGTAGAAAACAGGTCTGTATTTATAGAGGATATGAATGGGGGGATGCACGGAACCCTAGAAGAGATAGAGCCGCAGAAAAACCCTAATTTGGGCACCATGACATGGTTCTGTCCACCGTGACGCGGTACACGATGCCGTGTCGCGGTGTACAATCTGCCCAAATCGCGTCCAGATTCATAAGCGCATGAGAAAACGTGGAAAAGACACGAAAAAAGAATCGTGTCACGGTATATGTACCGAGCCAAAATACAAATTGCCGTGGTACAAACCATGTCACGTCATATTTTGCCGCGTCACGGCAATTTAGCTGATGCGCGGTAATTCCAGTTTTTTACGCGTTTTTAAAACTATGATAACTTTTGATCCGTAACTCGGAATAATGCATATAATATATAGTTGGTAAGCTTATCAAGTATAATGTCTAACCCAATTATAATCAAGTCAAAATAATTTGTATATTTCAATATATGGCCGTTTTAGTGAAATAGTGTCAGTTTTGGGCCGAGTTTAGTGTTTGGCTCATATCTTCTTCGTTTTAAATCGGAATTGGGCTTATGATGTAACATTGGAAATCTTATTGAAAGGCCTATCCAAACAAATAATAATTGGATCAAAATTATAGGGCCACAAAATCAGTTACTCTCGGTTTTGTGATGTGGATACGAAAAGTGGAAACTAAGCTATAATTTGGGGAAATGGGCTTAGAATTGAGTTGGTTAACCAAATATATTGAGTGGAAACATGTATTTAAGAACTCAAAAGATTAAATACTCAGCCCCATCAATAATGGCGGTAAAGGTTGTTCATCATCGGGTTTGGTTTTGGGGAGACATTTTTAGGTGTCTACAAGTTCCTAAAGGAAGGATTATTTAGCCATGTATGTGTGACATGTGTGAAAGTGACACTAAGGTTAGGTCGCAAAAACTAAGGGTGTGGAAATATATTTTGAAAAGAGACAAATAATGGTGACTCTTAGGATAGGTAGGCTAATGAAGTAGGGATCAAGCCCCAAGTCTAGCTCTAGATAGATAGGGATGAGCATTGAAGATCCCTTGATATGATCATGTATGAATGTGAATATGAATGTATTTTTATTATGGCCGCACCTTAATGTGAGGTTACCTACGTATCCGTTAGGAATCAGGTTGAATGTAACTTTAGCCAAACCTCGCACAAGTGTGTATACCTCAAAGAGGTCTTTTGAAGGATTGTAACGGGGCTAGGTGTAACACCCTAGAAATTCCTTTCCTTTTTTTTTTTGAAATAAGGTAAACTTATATTAACACCAAGAAAAGAATTACACCAAAACAAGGCCCCAAAAAAGGGCACAGCAGAAAACCAAAAACTGCAACACACTGTAGAACCAAAAAACAAGCAAAACTACAAACAAAATACAACCAGGGACAACAAGACTCCAGCAGCAACAACTAACTGATTAAGCATCTAGACCACTCCCTATTTCTCTTACTCGTTTTCTTAGGCATTACCACACTAATTCTATGATAGATATCCCACAACAGCTTCTTCATCACATGCTGAGGACTTTGTAGACAGAGATCCCACACAGCCTTGTTCCTCTGCTGCCAAACAGAATACAATAACCCAACATAGCAGCTCTGAATCACTTGTCTTATAAATCTTCCTGTAATAGTTTTCAACTTGTCATTACAACTCTCCAGAGTACTTGGGTCACAATTATACACAGTCACCTTGTCAATGATCCTGCAACATTCCTTAGTGTACTGACACTCAAAGAACAAATGATCAACTGTTTCATCAAACAGTCCACACAAAGGACAATCTGAAGCATCAATAATGCCTAATCTAGCCAATCTTGCTCCGAGTCTGATTCTTCTCCACACAATCATCCAACTAGTGAAGATGTGTCTTGGAATATTCATTCTATTCCAAACCCAGTTACACCAAGGCACATCCTACTGCTCTTCTTTCAACCAATTATAACCACTAGCAACTATGTAATCTTTTCCAGTAGCTAACCACTTGCTTCCAGAATATCCAGCTTTGAACTTTTCCTTCAGCTTCCAAAACTGCTTCCAGCTCCAACTAGCAGAATTAGATCAAGGAACCCTTTTCCAACTTCTCTCTTTAATATACAAGTGGTTGATCCATTTTACCTTAAGCCTGTCCTGTTTACTAGAAATATTCCAAATATGCTTCCCCAAGGCTGCCAGATTCCAAAGATAACAGTCATGGATACCAAGCCCACCTTGCTTCTTACTTCTACACACAAAATCCCAAGCAATGGGAGGAACCCTATTAGAAACAGCCTTCCCATCCCAAAGAAAGTTTCTGCAGACTGAGACAATCCCATCCAGCACACTTTTAGGTAAAATAAAGATGGAAGCCCAATAAGAATGAAGAGTCATCAAGACAGAGTTAACCAGGTGAGCTCTTCCTGCATAAGAGAGAGTTCTAGACCCCCAAGATCTAATCCTAGCTGTAATTTTATCAATAAGACATTGACAGTCTGTCTTATTCAATTTCTTGGAACTAACACTAACTCCAAGATACTTAAAAGGCAGAAAATCTTCTTTAAACCCAGATTCCTCAATTAACTCTTTCTTCACAGCAGGACTAATGTTGCAGCAATAAAGATTAGATTTACCACTATTAGCAACCAATCCTGAAGAAGCAGCAAAAGTAGCTAAACTTCTCAAAAGCAAAGAGACAGACTATTTATCACCCTTACTAAACAAGATCAGGTCATCTGCAAAAACTAGATGATTCAGCTTCAATTTTCTGCACTTTGAATGAAACTGGAACCTCCTATCATCACCCACACACATCAACAATCTAGACAAATACTCCATACACAACACAAATAGCAAAGGAGACATAGGGTCCCCTTGTCTCAAACCCCTTTTACCTTGAAAAAAACCTTCCAGACCCCTATTAATATTCATAGAGAAAGCACCAGAAGAAACACAAGTGATAACTAACTTGACAAACTTTCCAGGGAAGCCAAAAGCTATAAGCTTTTCCTCAAGAAACTCCCATTTAACTGAATCATAAGCTTTCTTGATATCAACTTTCAATAGACAACTACTAGGAGCATTTTTCCTACCATAATGAGACACCAAGTCCTGAATTATACTAATATTATGAATGATCTATCTGTTTTCCACAAACCCAGTTTGAGAATGAGAAATAAGATCAGGAAGGACCACCTTCAACCTTAAGCACAGGAGTTTAGTAATGCACTTATAAACCACATTGCAACATGCAATGGGTCTAAAATCAATCACTGACTCAGGCTGCTCAATCTTGGGGATCAAGGAAAGAGTAGTACAATTAACTTCTTTAAGCAACTTTCCATTCTCAAAGAACTCCAATACTGCTGTATAAAACTCCTCCCCAACTATCCCCCAAGCTTTCTTGAAGAAGCAACTAGAATACCCATCAGGACCTGGAGCTTTATCCTCAGGGATTGAAAATAAAGCTACTTTAATCTCATTCTTGGTAAAGGGAAGTTCAATAAGCTTTACTTGCTCCTCTATAAGTATACACCCTTTTTTAACCACATCAACATTAACAGCTACCCTATCCCCAACATCAGTTCCCAATAATCTTTTGTAATAATCCACAAAGCCTTTAACAATACTTTCTGGATTATCACACACCTCTCCCATCTCATTCTTCACAGCTACTATCTTTTTCTTAAAGGCTTTCAGCTTAATACTTCTGTGAAAAAGGCAGTATTATCATCCCCCACTTGCAGCCAATTAATCTTTGCCCTCTGTCTGAGCTCAGAAAAATAATGCTTTTTCACATTACATAATGCTCTTAACTTCACAACTTCAGAACTTCTTAGAATCTCATTAGTGGGACACTTCTGCAACTGCTCCTGAATCTCCCCAATCTCACCCTTTAGCTTCCAATATCTCACATCCAACTCAGAAAACTCCATCTTATTCAACTTTTTCAATTCATACTTCATCTTCTTCAGTTTTACAAGCATTCTGTACATTGGGATACCCTTCACATTAGTTCTCCAAACCAACTTCACAATATCTTGAAATTTATCATGACCAGCCCACCCATTCAAGAACCTAAAAGACTTCCTATTTTGAGTCTTTTGATTCATTAGTCTTATCACATCTGGACAGTGATCAAACCAAAGCTCAGGGATATAGTGAACATAAGAGTCAGAGAACGGCATACCCCAATCTTCATTAATCAAGGTTCTATTAATTCTGCTATAAACCCTATCTTCATTCAGCTGCTTGTTATTCCAAGTGAAAGTAGCTCCCATCTTATTCAAGTCACTTAAGCCACAATACTAAACACAATCTCTAAAATGAATCACCTCCCCCTGAGTGATACTTCTACCCAATCAGTCCTCAAAATTGAGAGGACAATTAAAATCACCAGATTTAACCCAAGGCCCCACCATACTATCATGAATTCCTTTAATACCTTCCCAAAGCTCCTCTCTTTCTTTCCCATCATTCATGCCATAAACAACTGTGAAGGCAAAAGACACATGTTTAGGGTAATTTTACCCCGCCACGTGGTCCAATCAGCGGATGACACGTGTCAGCCTTAGGCTGGCCCAAAGTGGATCAATCCCTGCTTGACACGTGTCACTCCAGAAAATAAGGGAAAAAGGCGGCCATTAGGCCCAAATCCCGAGAAAGCTGCAAAACAGTGCATCCCACCAATGATTAGGGTTTAGTGACCTAATCAAGGGCACAAATCCCAAAGACCCTATAAATAGGGAGATGTCCCTCATTTTGAGGGCACGTTTTACAATTTATTACACCTTTATTCTCTTACATCAGAGAAAGACCTGAGCTTGGAATCCGAGCAGATATCCACTTAAATTTCCGTTCTCTTTATTCTGTTTCAAGTTACTGACTTGACCGTCGGAGGCGGAGCTCCAACCACCCGGAGTCTCCGTTATTTTACAGGTACAACTCAGCCGGATCAGACTTCGTGACGTAACTCTCCCAAGGGACAAAAACACCCAAAACATTTGGCGCCGTCTGTGGGGAGAGTACCTCGAAGATTTGCACCCCTAACCGTCCGGAAAATGACCCAGAAGTCTTTACAGACCATGAAGATGAGGATCTTCAGGTCGAAACCTTTACAGCCAATGATGGCTCTCTCATAACCAAGCGCATCCGGCCCAGAGACACTCTGGAGCGGGGTGCCTCCCAGGCGGGTGCAAATCGACCCCCTGGGCAGCCGGAAGGGGAAACCCAAACGGCCGCTGGATCAGCACCTGTCACCCGAGACGAACTCAGAGATTCATGACCAGTTTTAAGGGTGAAATTAAAGAGCTGATCACCCAAAGCCGGGCTGGCCCAAGTAAAGGTCAGTCGGCCAAGAAGACTCCTCAGGAGAAGGGGAAGTCAGTCAGAGACCGGAAGCTCACTCCTCATCCAAAGTAGAAGGCAGCCGAGACCATTGATTGGTCAAAGATTCTCCTTCCCAAGAGGAACAACAACACCCTCCGGACTCAGCAGCCGGTGGGAAGTAAAAAATCAATTCCTGATGCCCGGGAAATAATCAACCGGAAGAGGAATCAACAGCTGTCTGAGTCGGCTTCAACGTCGAACTTTCCATACAGCTTCAACAACTCTACTGCAGGGAATTCTCTCTCTCTGCATGGGAGCCAGACATGCGGTAACACCGTCCATTCTGGCCCTCAGATGATTGAAACTGTACCGTATGTGCCTACTCAGGCTTACGGACAATATCCCCCTCACTTCATGCAGCCGGCTCTCTTTGGAGGTCAGGCAGCATATCAAAATGTCCAGCCATTGGACTGACAGCTCCGTCTGCTGCGCCTGGGTGAACATCCTTCTGCGTTCACCCGGGAGATAACCGAGGCGGCCCAGCCGGCCAAGGTTAAGAATGTGTTGGTTGGTACCTATGATGGTACCACCAATCCGGAAGACCACCTCATGGCTTACACCAACCTCATGTATTTGCAAGGGTTGGATGATGCCACTTGGTTTCGGTGCTTCCCGGCTACATTTAAGGGCATTGCCCAACAATGGTTTGGCAACTTGTCGGCCGGGTCCATCGATTGTTTCAGGAAGCTCGCCTTCCTGTTTGCTTCTAACTTCTCAATGAACATCCCTGCTAAGAAAACAAGCCTTGATCTGAGCACTGTTAGGCAGGGAGAGAGAGAAAGGCTGCTCTCATATGTCAGGCGGTTCAATCTGATAAGAATTCTGATTCAAGGACTGTCTGACGAGGTAGCTTTTACAGACTTTTTCAAGGGTCTGAGAGATGGGTCGACTTTTAAGTTCGACCTAGTCAGAAAAGGGGATTTCACCTTACAGGCGGCCCTGAGGGAGGCGGAAAGATACATTCAAGCTACCGACCTCTGCTCGCCTGGTAGCCAGTCGGACTCCAAGAAGTCCGAAAAACAGAAAGACATCCGGTCAGCTCAGCCGGCCAAAAACAAAGAAGAGAGCAAGAAAAGAAAAGAAGTCTGGGCGGTTACTGACTCTGACCAGCCGTCCCAGAAGAAAAAGAAAGAGTTTAAACCGTACGTTCCCAAGTACGAGTTTAATAAAGACTACAACTCCATCCTCATGGAGGTAAAGGACCGGCTGTCCATTGAAAAGCCAAATCCAATGAAGAGTTCTATCCAGTCACGGAACAAAAATAAATTCTGTTAATTCCATGAGGAGGTTGGCCATGACACCAACGACTGCTTTAGTCTTCAGCGGACGTTGGACGGTCTGGCCGACAAAGGGCTGTTGAAGTCCTACATCTCTAAGTCCCCAGCCAGGGCAAAAAAGAAAAACAAGGGTTAGTCCTTTAGGACTACCCCCCAGCCTGCTAGTAGTTCGGATACTGGCAAGGAGCCGGTCTACACTATAGCAGGCGAGCTCTCATGTGGTGGCCTAACCATCTGGGGCAC